AAGTCTGAGCTGATTTTGTCGATTGGAGCAAGTCAGTTGAAAATGGTGAAGAATTGTGCAACATCTCGTGAACTCTGGCAGAAGCTCGAAGATATGTTTCAGTCAAGAGGACTTGCACGGTAGGCTATGTTATTAAAGAATCTTACTTTGAAGAAGATGAACGAAGGTGGCGACATTCATGAACATTTGTGTGAGTCTTTTGATTCGGTCGATAAGTTAGCGAAGATGGACGTAAACATAAACTATAATTTATTCGCAATCATGTTACTGTACAGTGTGCCAGGAAGTTTTGAAAATTTTAGAGTGGCGATTGAAAGTCGTGATGTATTGCCAACGCCTGATAACTTACGAATGAAGATTACGGAAGAGTATGATGCAAGAAAGAATACGAAAACGTCGAATTCGAATCAGAGTGCTATGTACGTTCAGAAGAATAAGCAGAAAAACAAAAGGGAGAAAGGAAAAAGAAGATTTTCAACTTCAAGTGTTTCAAGTGGCATCAACAAGGATATAGACAGTCTCAATGTCCACTCGAAACGTGAACGACAACAGTTCTGCGAGTGTAGCTCTTTTTTCAACCGAGGTGAAGGTTGAAGTATGTCAGGACATCAGCCGGGTGACAGAAAGTGACTGGTGTCTTGACAGTGGGTGCACTTCTGGCTTGTGTCGAGATATTTTTTTTTTATTTGAACATGTTCACGGATTTCGACAGTGGCCAGGGTGGTCAAGTAAAATTAGCTGGCGACGCATTCGCAGAAATTACAGGTAAAGGCACTGCCATAATTAAAACCAAAAGAAATGGCGACCTTTGCGATGTAAGCGTTTTCGATCTTCGGCATAACTTATTGTCAGTTGCTAAAATCACGGACAAGGGATACAAAGTAGTATTCGACAAACTTCAGGCCGAGATTATCGAGAAACAGAAGGTGAGGTTTATCTGTGGTAGAAAGAAGGACGGAGTCTAGGGATCGTCTTCAAATCTGGCACAGAAGAATGGGTCATGTGAATTTTGGAGACCTTGTCGATGCATCAAAGAACGGAGTTATTCATGGTGCAGTTTTACCGGAGAAATCACAAGATGTGAACTGTGCAGTTTGTTTTAAGGGGAAGATGATCAGACCGAGTGAATGCGGAATTTGACGAGTTTTTAAAGCCAGAAGGCATCAAACATAGATTCACGGCTCCTTATACACCACAACAGAACGGGGTGGCGGAAAGGATAAATAGAACATTGATAGAAATGCCTCGTTGTCTCTTAATTCAACCCGGTCTGTCATCGTCGTTCTGGGCGGAAGCTGTGTCGACGACATGTCATACCAGAAATCGATGTCCAGCAAACAAGATCGGTGGAAAGACTCCATGTTTGGGATGGCAGATTACCAACTGTGGTCTACTTCCGAGAGATTGGATGTAGGGCATTTGTTTTGAATAAGGCACCAACTAAGGGGAAGCTGGACAGACAACAGATCAAGAGAAAGAATTTTTGTGGGGTATGTCGATGGCTGCCGGATTCCAGAAAAATCGAAATAAAGAGAGACGTGAAATTCATGGAGAGCGACCAGAAGTTTTTTATCGAGAAGAATATCAAACGCAATTGGTTTGATGTAGACATTGCTAAGAAATCCGTTGAGGAGGTTGAGCCGCAACCTGAACCGAGTTTTGAAAAGGTATTCAAGAGTCTTTCATCAGGATTACGCCGACCGGGACGTCTGAGAATCATCAGAAACAGATCGTCCGGGACGACCACGTAAAGATTTCGCTAAGAAAGTCTGGATGCAATCATCCAGAGGGGATTGAAGCTATCGCTTCGGAAGTGACAATACTTCGTATTTGGTGGACAGGCCAGGGGGTCAGCGGATAATTGCAAGTAGATTTGTTCTACGGATCAAGTATAAGCCAGACGGCACGATAGACAAGCGTAAGACCCACGTGGTGGCTGAAGAAGTTGGTATGAAACCTGAAATATATTTTCACGAAACGTTTGTTACCGTGGCAAGATTGGCTTCTATACTCGATATAACTACAGCTTACTTAAATGGAATTATAAAGATAAGATCTTTATGGAGGTTCCGAAACATTTAGAAGAAATACTTGAGCACATCGGGAGAACCGAAAAGAAGGAAACAACAATCAGAGAAGAAGCAAGAAAGATGATGGAGCGAATGCGTAAAGGCGACATGGTTTGTTTACTGAACAAGGGTCTTTACGGTCTGCCACAAGCTGGCAAAGCTTGGAACGATCGATTGGATGACGAACTCCGAAATCTTGGAGCGGTTCCATCCGATGCAGATCGTTGTGTATACGTCGTCCAGGCATCGAACGTCACAAGTTTTATAGTCATTTATGTTGACGATATATTGATTATGTCGGGCAGTGAAGTCGAAATCGGACGATTGAAGAGTTGTCTTTGTGAAAATTTTGAAGTCAAAGATTTGGGGGATCTTGACTACTGTCTAGGTATTGAATTTGACAGAACGGGTAATTATCTAGCTATTAGCCACAGGGGATACATAGACGATTTACTTGAGAAATTTGAAATGAGTCATTGCAATCCGGTCTCTACATGCGGTAAATTACCTCAGTCAATTTAGCAGTTGTTTTAAAGAGTCTCATTGGAAGGCAGCGAAAAGGGTCATACATTATCTTGAAGGGACTAGAGATCTGAATATAGTGCACTCACGCGGCAGCGCAAGCGTACCTCTGGTAATGTATACTGATGCTGACTGGGGCAGTTGTCTTGTTGATAAGAAGTCTTATAACTTATAACAAACACAAAAAAAAACATAGCAGACAATCTGGAGGTTCAAAATGGCGTCGGACGAATGAGTTGTAAAAAAAACGCTTCAAAAATATGTTTCCCAGAAATGTGACCAATCCTATGGCGCTGTGCATATTATGTTCTAAACCGAAGGAATAAAATGCACGTCCCACATGATCCACAATGTTAATTTGTTCAATAATGTGCTCGGTTTGAAAATACGCTTTCAACATGGCCGCTGCCGGAACAAAGAATTTACGTGATGTCAAATTATGCCACACTTTATCAACGATTCAAACAAAAAATTTACATTATGTTAAATTATGCCACACTTTATCAACGATTCAAACAAAGAATTTACAATATGTTAAATTATGCCTTGATCTAAGTGACTGGTTACTTAAAACAATTAGCTTCGAGGGTTTATATCGTGGACTGTCCCCAGCTTAACCCAAAGAAAACACATGACAAATAAATACAAAATGCATCAGGCGTTGCGAGAAAAGCTTCTCGGCGATGTAATTTTCCACGTTGCCAGAAAATGTCTCGGTGATGTACCTAATGATGATATGATGAAAATAATTGCTTAAGGGGAAAATTTTTAATCCCCTCGTACCTCAGTCCACGATATTATGAATTCTACCCCGTACTTTTACGGTCTTTTCCCATAGTGGGGCAACGTGGGATTGATTTAACTGTCGTAAATGAACTATTAGCAATCTTGTGTGAGGAATTAAGAAGTGTTACGATGTAACACTTAAGTATAAGCATCCAGAAACGTTATTTATTATTTTGTAAACAAAGAATGGGTCGTGAGTGAGTGAATCTCATGAAACTCCCTAGCAAGTACTGTATCTAAACAATCTCAGAACCGTTAAATTGTGTTAGAACTAGTTAACCATTAAAATCCTAACATGAACTGCGATTTTACAAACAATAAAACAAATTTACACCACGTGTTAGCGTCGGTCGAGAATTCGTATATTTCCGCTTGGAAAAAAACACAAGAATCAGCTACGCGTGTTGGGGAAACTGCGGCGTCGTCGTCGTTAAGATTAATTTTCTTTAAACAAAGGCTTCTCATTTTTATTAACCACCAAACCAACTCAACTTAATCTAGATAACTCACTACGTAGTTGCACACACAACAAGTAAACCAAAAGTGACGCTTCTCGCCCCGCTGGCCACCAAATCAATTTCTACCAACCCTCTCGACAGAAAATCCCTAAGGAGGGCTACCGAACACCCAAAAAGAACTAAACGTGCACATGATTGCCTATGGTTAACGATTTTCTTGATTGATTTTTTTTCAAATTCAAATTATTCAAATGCAATTTCGCGCCGCTGTTAATTTTTTTTCAGCACGAAATTCCAATTCAAATTCGGTCACCACAGTATCCAACTTCGTCGAAAGTTAAATTTTTCAAAACAATGAAATTTTGTATCTTTTTTGAGGATTTTTAAAAATTATGAAAAGAGATACTATTATTAAATTCGACTTCCAGAATTTGGTCAATCTGTGGTAGCACCCCCACCTTATTCACTCCACCTCGTCACTCTAGAATACGGTGGGGAGAAACTAAGGGTGACGGGGTGGGGTAAATAGGGTGGGGGTGCTACAACTTGTATATAAGGATGAAACAAACCCACGACGTTTAGTCTTAATGTTGACGTCACAGCGCTAACATACCAGACACTTCTATCACCACAAAACTGTAAGTATACCTAATATTTATTTATACAAAGAGTCTCTAATTTTTGTTTTTTTTTCAGATATTTCCAAACCATGGCTCTACAAAGATGTTCATCGCCAACCCGCACTGTGGAGACTTTCCCACAAGAGGAACTCGAGTCCACCTGCAGGGAATATAGAAATTTCGTCAAAAATTTCGAGAAACCCGAAGATTTGACGAAAATAATGACAATCAGAGGAGTTGGACGGGCGCACCTCCCAGGAATTATTTCTGGAAATTTGAGGCGCAGACAGACACTAATGGGGAGACATCGACCACAGGAGTGACCTGTTGTATTTGTTTTAGACTAGAGATTTGATATATTCAACTTGTTTGTACATATATATTGTTGTTTTGTTTTATAAATTTTATATTACTTATTATAACTTTATGAATTAAATTTTTTAACTACCGTTATGTGTCATTTTCCTTAATTCTTGTACCCAATGACGATAATATAAGAAAATGATAAGTCGGGACAGGATGGGTTAGCTTATATCAGGTTACTATTTACTTACTCAGCCATATCTTAATTTACAAATTATACCAACAAAACAAAGTATATTTTATCGTGATTGCTTCTGATTATTTGCATAACATGTTACAAGTTCTTCGTCTGCTCGAAAAAATTCTTTCAACTCACCAAACTGTTCCACGGTTCTTTGATTTAATTCATCACAACTGGGTAAATTGCCACCATACTCCGCAGGAAGATAAGCAGCAGGAATACAGTCTCTGTGAAATTCTTCCATGGTCATTTTGGGTGAATGTGGAATAATCTAAAAATTACAGTAATTACAACCATCGGAATTTCTTCTCCAGGATGAATAAGACTGTACCTGTGATAACAATTCCGCATTCATGAAAACCTTAGCAATCGCAAGAGCTTTATCAAAGATATAATTAGCATTCAGAATATGAATCTTATGGATCCTAAGTGGCATTGCTTCTTGCATGAAGTCTATGAATTTTTTCACAGCCATAATTTTGAGACAGGTCAAGTGCATAAATGTTGACTACAGTATGATTAAAAAATTTCTTTTGTAGTTTTATTACACTACTTACTCCTTTCATGTCTATCACAACGATCAATTGATTCGGAGGATTGTATCTTTGGCTTACATCCAATAACATTAGTGACAGTTTCATTGAAGCCACTAAATCAAAATTTTTGTAGTTCGTGTCGGTTAGTTTGAAGAAGTGGATGACAGTGTTGTCTGACATCCGTTTAGGAATACTGCAACATACTCTAGGAAAATGGTTAAAAACAAAGTGTAATTTATGTGTAATTGTACTTACATAACATTCATTGCCTTCTTTAGAACTTCACTATCTACATTCCTTTCTGTAAAAAATTCCGGAGCGTCACCTTTAATTTTAAAATGTTGTTTTATAGTGGCTTGAGTAGAGGCCACATCATTCTGACACGATAACAGAAAGAGAGCTATAAGTTCGTCATGGAGTTGGGGTATAGACGTTGTTTGCAGCCATATTTTGATTTCTTCAACATCATTCTGGGAAACTCTGCCTTCTTTTATGAGTGTTTTGGCCTCAAATTTATAACAAAGTGACATTTAGATTACGAAGAATGCCGACTGCATAAAATATTTTTTACACTAGAATTACTTATCCGGCAATGGTAACTAGCTTGATAACAATGGACACCATTATGCGAATTTTGTATTCTTATCATACTTACCCACGTCCTGCCAAGGTTAATGAACAAAAAAATTATAGTATGTGATACCAAAACCATATTGTTATGACGAGCAATTTTGTGTCTTGTAAGTCATGTCTTAATAACTGATTTTCTAAAAATGAATATGTATGTATTTAAATGCTTGATCATTTCCTCTAAAAATATTTCGTTGTAATTATGGTCAAGTTAATTGTGCACGAGAAGGTACCTACAACCCGTACGTTCATACAATTTGTTGGTTGTTTATGTGTGGAAAGATATGCATCGAAGCTTGTTTTCTTTAAACAAGAAGCATAAAATATAAAGATGTGAAACAAGGTTGAATTGCCATGTGTTATACACAGGCTACTGCTCCCGGAGATCAACAAACATATAAAACAGTCACATCTACATGGATGATATATTTGCTTTTTACCTTTATTTTAGCATTATTAAACAAGACTTCCTTGAACTATAATAAACAAACACTTTTCTATTGTTGATAAGTATCACGCAGTTTTTACCTGAGATTAGTTATTAAAATTCCGTGCACGAGTTTCCTTTCGTAAATCAAACATAGTTGCGAAAATGTCACCCAATTATTCTTTCGACGCGAGTGAATTAATCAGAGATGGAAAAATTCAAGCAGAAACGTTAAACCAACTCAAAGATTGGTGCGACAGCCAAAAATTACCCAATTTGAGTGAACACCAACAAATTTTAATTTTGTCGTGTGCTAATTCTTTGAAAGATGCACAAAACATTATTGGGAAGTACTTCAAGTACAAAAGTGAAGCTCCTGAGATTTTTTCCGATTTGAACTTGCAAGCGGAAGATTTACAACAGGCTATAAACATCTAGTAAAAATTTTAAAAGAATGTTAATTTGTGTTTATATTCACCTTTTAGTGATATTTCTGTGACGCCCCAGAGAACTGCAGACAATGTCGTCATCGCTTGTGGAAAATTAAAAGACACGTCCTATTCGAATTTTAACTTAGGGCCCCTTTTCAAGCTGACTCTAATGGCTTCAGAGTTGTATTTGTACGAAGGTCCCGTAGAAGGGCTAGTGCTGATAATTGACATGGAAGGTTTCGGTTTTTTGCATCTAACAAAGATTAGATTGGGCATTTTGCAAAAATTTTTCCAGTTTATTCAAGAAGCAATGCTTTCCAAAATCAAGGCGGTTCACGTTGTGAATACAGAGAGCCTCATTGATAAAATTCTTCTCATTGTAAGACCATTTATTAAAAGAGAAATTTTTGAAGTGGTAATTTTTTATAGTTGATGGTTTATATTTCATTTATTTTTGCTTTTTAGATTCACTTTTATCGTCGTGATGAAGTGCACGAGATTTTTAAAAAGGTTCCAAGGACGTATGTACCAGCTGATTATGGTGGTAGTTTACCAGCCCAGAATATTTTGGCAGCAAATACTTATCGAAAAATGGTACAATTGCAGTCTTTTTATGCCGAATTAGAAGAGCAGGTGAAGATTTATAATAAATTAAAAGAGTAAAAATTATTTGACGCATAGGATTAGAGGAAAAATAATTTGACAAGGTGTGTATCAGTATATTGATTTAACTAGAGTGCTAGGTTTTGGTGAAAATAAATCTAAATTTCATTTAATAATAAAACTGTTAAATAATTCTGTTGACTCATTAAAAAAAAGGTAATAATTATACGTTTGGGTTATGTCTACATAATAACCTTTTAACGAATGAATCTTCTTAGCATTAACATTAACACTGGTTGGAATTTTTAAATTGCTAAATAGAGAGTCATTATTCAAAGTCGATATTTCCTTGGTAATGACTAATGAGTAGTTGTTGCAAAAGTCGTCATATCACTCATATCATTTGTAGTAATTAGGTCGACAATTATTTAGACTCGGGTAATGGCTGATGTGACGTACCAAGGTGATTTAATTTTTTAAAAGAGTGTAAGCTGATCTCCGCCACAAAATTTATGATTTGATTTAGTGCTTACAGAAACTTCTAACTAGATGATAAATAAACCACTACCCTCTTATTCAACTCCCACAATTTGCCTCAAAATTGTACATAGGTACTTTAGTTAAGAGTCTCCAATTGCGCTGACTGTTTTAAATGGTAATCAATTTTTCCTCCATATTGTTTGTTCCGTTTCACAACAAATAATTTCGAAGGTACATAAAAAAAACATTCGTTGATTAATAAGAAGTGATATCGGGGTTGTTAGAATATTTAATGACTAGCAATTGCTCACAATTTGTGTAATTACAATCACGACATGCAAGTTTTAAAAACTGTTTTTTATATTGGAGCGGTGTTTAAAATAACACCAACTGCCACAAATTTGACGTTTAACAATCCCCACAAAAAACAGCAGTATTTTGCATTTTTTATTTACACCATCGCTTTTTTGTATGGACAGTATGAGCAACGCAAACTTTTCCAAAACTTTAGCTTTGCAAAGAAAATTTTTCACGTAGTGGATCATGTTACTGTTTATGTTCATAATTTCTATATTTTCGTAATTCTGATGGTAAACAAGTACAATAGATGGTTGGTTTTATTAAAAATATTAAATAATGACAATACAACAACAGGCGGAAGGAAACATTACGTTTACGCTTTCTTCGTCACATCTTTTGTTTTTTGTGTTGGGGTTATTCTATGGGGTTTAAGCGTAGGATTTCTGGACAGTACGGTTTTAATAAGAACATGTTTAATAGACAGTTTTAAAGTATATACGGCATATGTTTATTTATTTCTTATTTATGTTCTTGCAAACATGATACACGAAAAATACCTAAATCAGATGACCTTACTGCGTAAAAATTCTGTTCGATCACTGGAAAAGTTCGCAGAAAATATGCTCTCTCTTCAGCAAACCGTTGATGCATTTAATGATATGTTTGGATGGGTGATTCTGTTAGACATTTTCCTGATTGTAAACGCCACTCTTAACTTTATAGAGTTTTTGTTAACAAACTTTCATTTCACATCTCTATGGGACATCTTCTTCATATTAAGTGTTTTCTTCGTTATATTTTTTATTTGGGTAACATTGGTTCCGTATTAAATTGCAAGACACTTATTTCTTATTTTTTAGGTAGGTTTGTTACCCATTATATGGGTATGTGATTCCGTTATATACACATATGATCAGATTCTATTTACACTATATAAACACAGAAATTTATTAATCCAAAAAGTGTCAGCGTGTTCTTTTTCAAAATATCGGCCCTCTTTTAGTGCCGCTGGATTTTTTTATCTGAACAGATCAACAATTTTTAGCATAATGAACGCAGTTGTAACTTTCTTGCTTGTTATTTTGCAGATGATAACAATAAAATGAGGAAAACAATTTTAATTTTAATTTCTTGGTCTTACGTGCGTTTGTTCCTCATTTTTTAGCTCGAACTGACTTACACAGACACAATATGGACATTTTTCTAAGTCCAGACTTCTTTGGAGGTGAGCAATTTTTCGAAGTACGGTTTTTTCAAAATTCAGCAGAATTTTGGCCACCTCTAATACTTGTTGACGACTTCATCCTAAAAAAGTTGCAAAAATTTGTTTCAAAAATTTTACCTATGGTGCACTTGATATAGATTGAATAATTCGTTTGTCTTTCCTTAAAAACAGAAAAAAACGAAACTGATTTTTATGTATTCATGTAGATATTCGTCCAACTCGTTTGACTTACCTACTGTTTAAACCAACCAAAATTTGGACTAAAATTTTCATAAAGTTTATTTCTGCGGATAGTTAATTTCAAAATTGTACATACTTTAGTTAAGAATTTACAATTACGTGCACAGTTTTAATCTATGTTTTCCTCCATGTTGTTTAAAAATAAATAATTTCTAACGGAAGACCTAAAAAACATTGGTAGATTAATCGATATCAGGGTTGTCAGAATATTTAATACGAAGCACAACAACTACCCCTCAGAACAATTTATGCATTTACAAGCGACATGCAAGTTTTAAAAATTGTATTTTACATTGGATCGGTGTTTAAAATAACACCACCAACAACAACAAACTTAACCTTTAACAATCCCCACAAAAACAAACAATATTTTATATTGTTTATTTACACGGTCGCTTTTTTCTACGAACAATATGAAAAAAGCAAACATTTCCAAAACTTTAACTATTTAAAAAAAATTATTTACTTAATTAATGATGGTACTCATTATGTTCACAATTTCTATATTTTCGTTGTTCTGATGATACATAAGTACAACAGATGGTTGGGTTTACTAAAACGATTAAATAATGAAAATACAAAAATAGAAGAAAAGAAACATTACGCTTATGCTTTTTTGGTCACATGTTTTGTCTTTTTTGTTGGGGTTACGCTATGGGGTTCAAGCCTAGGATTTTTGGCCGGTATGTTTTTTTTTAAAACATTTTTAATAGATATTTTTGAAGTGTATACACTATATGTTTATCTGTTTCTTATTTATGTTTTTGCAAACATGATACGCGAAGAATACAGAAATCACTTGATCTTGCTGCGTAAAAATCATACTAGTTCTGTTCGATCACTTGCAGCAAAGATGCTCTCTCTTCAACAAAGTGTTGATGCATTTAACGATATGTTTGGATGGGTCCTTCTGTTACACATTTTCGTAGTTGTATCCGCTACACTTGTTTTTATAGAAAGTCTGTTAACAGAGTTTCATTACACTCTGTGGAACATCTTCTTCATCTCATGTTTGTTCTTTCTTGTATTTTTTATTTGGGTAACATCAACTCTGTATTAAATTGCAAGACACTAATTTCTTTTTTTTAGGTAGGTTTGTTGCCAATTATATCGACATGTGATTCCGTTATTTACACATATGATGAGATTCTATTTACATTATATAAGCAGAAAAATTTATTGAACCTAAAGATGTCAGTTCGTTCTTTTTCAAAATATCGGCCCTATTTTAGTGCCGCTGGATTTTTTCATATAAACAGATCAACAATTTTTAGCATAATGAATACAGTCGTTAGTTTTGTGCTTGTTATTTTACAGATGATTGCAATAAAATGAGGCAAACAATTCTAATTTTAGTTGCGTCGTAGGTGTGTCTGTTGTTTGTTTTTTTTGATACCATTTGCATAGTATATTCAGAATACAATGTGTTGTGCGTATAAACCACGATAGTCTGTGATTAATATGTGCCATTTTAATGAAAGAACAAGTTTAACATCTTTTCAAAGCAATGACAACTAAATAAGTATTGACACGTGTTTATCAGATCTCTTTGAGATACTTACCACGTGGTGACAAAAGAGTTCAGAGTCCCATCTCTGCTTCATATGGACACTCAACAATTTTCTGTGCGAACTAACTTAAATTCTGCTCTATTAATGCCTCTGCAGACAATCAATAATGAATTAATAACTAAAAATAATAGTTCGGAATTGAAAGCAGGTGCATCAACTGATTCTTACTCAGGAGATTATAGCTTAAAAAAAGGCGAGAAAATAGGAAAGCTGAAAGTTATTTTAAAAAATTAAGGCGTTATAATTAAAAAAAATTCTCTCGAAAGCAAGAACTACCCACCAAAGCAAAGCTGGTTCCTGTAGAAAAATTCTGCCGAATTCTGGATTCTGGATTCTGGATTCTGGATTCTTAATTTATGGGGCTGACCGTGGCCAGCCGGCACTTAGGCCTCGCCTTTGGGCCCATTGTACCTTCCCCAAGTCCATATCAGGGTGTTTTCCCGCTCCTCTACTCGTCAAGCCACCCAACTGCTTGAATGTACTTGAGTAATGCAGAGGGTGGAAACTCTCTGATATTTGCCATACTAGGCCAGATGTCCCCTAGTATGGATTCCCTGTAGGAGGCTAGGGCTGGACACTCACGGAGAATGTGCTCAGCTGTTTCCTCTTCTTCATTGCATCCACGACAGATTGGGTCTGTTACCACCCTTATCGTATGTAGATGTTTGTTAAACTGGTAATGTCCCGTAAGGAATCCTACCAGTTTACGCAGTTTGTCCCTTGAAAGTGAGAGATAAAATTTCGTCAACTTACGGTCTGGTGTCGCCATACAAGCTCTACTATGCCGACAGCTGCTCAACTTCACCCATATCTGCTCATGGCGTCTCTGAGTATATTGCTTTACGAGTTCGTTCGAGAGGGCGACCGAAGGCGTGATTGCCGGTTCGGGTCCCCAGAAGGGCATGCGCGCGGATCGCTTCGCCATCTCATCTGCCCTCGCGTTTCCTTCGTTGCCATTGTGTCCTTTGATCCAACAAAGTTCCACACTATTCCTCTGCGTTACATACTTTAGCGTTTGTCTGCACTCCCAAACCAGCCCGGATCGAACCATAAAGCTGTCCAGGGCTAGTAGTGCCGACTTGCTGTCAGTAAGTATGCGTATTGATTTGTTGCCGATTTCACGTTCAGCAATGATTCTAGCTCCCAGCATTATTCCCATCAGTTCTGTTTGTAAGACAGACGTGTGGGTGCCGAGAGATACACTGATTTGTGCGTTCAGTTGTTGGGAGTAGACGCCGATTCCT